CGATTGGAGACCCTCCCCCCCCGGATGGCAGCCTGCGGCAAGTGCAGCCGGACTGATGGCCGAGTGCTGTGATGTGCCCAGTGTGGGCATTCAGGGCACTCCAAGCCAGGACTGCTTTGCTGTCCCTCATCGAGTTAGACAAGTGACAGGGGAACCCCTGAGAACTATCTGTCTGCGGTGGGGGTCGGGTCCCTTTAAGCACAGCCCTTGGCTAGCCTGAGACAGCAGCTCCACGCTTTAAGTCCTAACCTGATGTCCTGCCGGCACTGCTTCTGGCCATCCTTAACCTCGGTTTAGGGTCCACTCAATGTGGACATGCTAGTTCGAATTAACAAAATGCTAATTCGAACTAGTTTTTAGGTCTAGATGCACTAATTCAAATTAAGTTAGTTCGAATTAGTGCTGTAGTGTAGACATACAGTGGGTTAGGTTCCACTGCAATTCACAAGACTCCCAGGAAATGTGTACACTACAATGTTATTTCAAAATAACAAGGTGAGCATCCATACAGCAAGCCCATTATTTCAAAATTATTTTGAAATATCAGGCTTCTTATTCTGGAATAATAAACCCTCATTTCACAAGGAATAATTCCTATTTCAAAATTTCAAAATAGTGATAGTGTAGACACTTCACTGCTGCTATTTCAAAATAGGTCCTCCCCAGGGCCATTCAAAGTAATTACTCCCCAGTGCTTCCTGGGGCTCTAAACTGAGGTAGTGCATCCACCTTAGGGGAGCCTGCCTCAGACTAATTTCGAGGTTTCCCTGTAGTGTGGACGTGCTATTTCAAAATAGTTATTTTGGGAGCTATTATTCCAAAAATAACTTACTTTGAAATAGTCTTGTAGTGTAGCCATATCCCTAGTGAGCTCTGTAAACCCCTAAATTCACTTGTCACCTACATTTTTAGGGTAAAAGGTCCCGCAGCATCTAAGGTCAGACGTATACTACAGAGTTAGGTCAACATAAGACAGCATATATTGATCTAACTCTTTAAGCATTTATACTGCAGTGTTGCTCCAGCCAATGTAAGTCCCTCACTAATAAATCCATGGCCAGAAGAGGCATAGTACTTAGGTCAATGTAGATAGGGCAGTGTAGTGTCAGTGTAGACTCTGTGGCTCTGTCTAGACTGGCAAGTTTTTCTGCAAAAGCACTTGCTTTTGCGCAAAAACTTGCCAGCTGTCTACACTGGCCGCTTGAATTTCTGCAAGAACACTGACAATCTAATGTAATATTGTCAGTGTTCTTGCGCAAATACTATGCTGCTCCCGCTCAGGCAAAAGCCCTCATGCGCAAATGCTTTTGCGCAAGAGGGCCAGTGTAGACAGCTAAAAACTGTTTTGAGCAAAAAAGCCACGATGGTGAATATGGCGATCAGGGCTTTCTTGCGCAAAACCACATCTAGATTGGCACGGACGCTTTTCCGCAAAAAGTGTTTTTGCGGAAAAGCATCCATGCCAATCTAGATGCTCTTTTCCTCAAATGCTTTTAATGGAAAAACTTTTCTGTTAAAAGCATTTGCGGAAAATCATGCCAGTCTAGACGCAGCTTGTGGGTATGTCTAGACTACATGGCTCCATTGACGGAGCCATGTTAACTAGTTTACCCAGAAGAGACAAAGAAGCAGGGATTTAAATAATCCTTGCTTAATTAAAATAAACATGGCCGCCGCACTGTGCGGATGATCAGCTGATCCGGCACAGCGTGGTAGTCTAGACGTGGATCGGTCGGCTGAGGAAGCCTTTTCTGACTGATCCCTTAAGCCTCGTGAAACTAGCTACGCTCCCTGCTCTCCCAGCCAGCCAACAACTAACTCATACTCACAGCCACTGCTCACCGCACTCAGAGAGTCCCGCCTCCTGCTTTGTCTTGCTTCCAGGCCCCAGGAGTTATTTGCTGTCACCTGGTCCTCAGGATATGACTTCCACAATGAGTCATGCCCAGCCTCCCCCTTCTCCTCCAGATAGTGCTGCAGTGCCCAGAGAAACTGAGGCATGCACACACACAGAGTCACTCCAGAACAGCACAGGACGGTAGAATCACATAAAGTACAACAAAGCAAACAGTGAATACAAAACCAAAGTCAATACAGCGGGCTACAAGAGTGGCCAAATTCTCTACCACGTCACACTTACCTCTCACCATAGTGTTCTAGTCAAGACATCAGAGCAAAAGTCAAATTAAGATATGCAGCTTCAACTGCATCAACTACGTAGCTGAAGTTGAAATAGCTTACCTTGGATTTTGGCACTGTCTACACAGCAGGAAGTCAAAGGAAGAACACTTACTTTGACTTCCCTTACTTCTGGTAAAATGAGGATTACAGGAGTTAGAGTAAGAAGTCCTCCAGCTCAACATTATTTTGAAATAACGCTGCTATGTAGATGTACCCTGAGCTATGGGAAATTCTGATGTAGAAAATCTCCCTTGATCTTTCTTGTTGAAGCTGTTCCATTGTGGATAAATAATTAAGAACAATTAGAGTAGATGGGGTTGAATCTGGGTCTACCACCTTCTCACTGGTTGCCGCATCCACTAGGAAATACAATCATTCTCAGGGTACGTCTAAACTACATGCCTCCGTCGACGGAGGCATGTAGATTAGCCAGATCGGTAGAGGGAAATGAAGCCGCGATTAAAATAATCGCGGCTTCATTTAAATTTAAATGGCTGCCCCGCTCTGCCGATCAGCTGTTTGTCGGCAGATCGGGGCAGTCTGGACGCGACGCGCCGACAAAGAAGCCTTTCTTGATCGGCACAGGTAAGCCTCGTGAAACCAGGCTCGAATTAATGCATCCCGGCGTGCACTTTCACTTTCGAAACAGCTGTTCAGTGGAGTAATGGGCCAGCGAGATCATGCTAATGAAGCGCGGGATAATTAAATCCCCGCTTCATTAGCAATTTTGGTTGCCTACATTTGCATCCCTAGTTCGAACTCGGGTGCAAGTGTAGACGTACCCTCTGAGAATGGTTATCCAGCCAGTTATGCACCCACCTTATAGTAGCCCCATCTAAGTTTATTGCCTAGTTTATTGATAAGAATGTCATGTGAGTCCATATCAAATGCCTTACTAAAGTCTAGGTATACCACGTCCACTGCT